TCAAAACTTTTGTCCTCGCGATGTATAGTATGTTATAACATATGTGTTTCTTACTGATGAATTAAATATAGTATTTTTATTGCATGTTAGTGTACTGTATTTTACAGTATGGTGTGTATGCATACATACATATATATATATATACACACATAGATCGGTCGTAGATAGTAAGATGATAGATAGATACATAGGTAAGAAGATAGACATACAGTGATGTGGATAGATAAATAGATAGTCAGTTACATATCTAGCTAGCAAGCAAGGTAGGTAGGTTATGCATGACATACGTATATGTAACTGAGTTTATGTATACTGCCATACCTCATTGTATTCGGCTTTATCGTGGAACGTTTCATTTTAGCAAATTACTCATAGTACATTCCAGTCTTTTCGAGTGTATGGCATGTTGCCTTGTCCTGTTTCTCAATTTTACATGTTGCATTACAGCCTACTGTCTTGGGTCATATTGCATGTTATTATACTGTTCTGTATTGTCTCGTAGTACACTGCACGCTAGTATGTTATAGCAGGCTACATCAAGTTGATCCTTGTTGTAGTCTGTTAGTAGGCATTGTGTATCATCATGCTATGTTTTAATATGCACATAAATTGCATTACATGTTTCTATAGTCTTATTTGATACCGTGGTATGCTAGAATGAGTTTTGGTACAAATTTGTACATATAAATAAATAAATGTATATTTTTATTGATCTTATGTTATCTCAAACTTCGCTATATCATGCTGACAGTTTATCATGTCCTTTACTGTATTTTCTATCATTTGATCATGATTATAACACCATATCGAATGATGCGTGAAACAATACATGATACTACACCTTACTGTATGACGTTGTTTGTTATTTCGTACTATTTCATGTTAATGTGTTTGTTGTTTGGATAAGACTATGCTGCATCATAGTTTAGTAAACTATTGCATGCCGCATGATATCCTATCAACCTATATTACTGAAAGTTATACGGTCTTCTGTTGTGATTCGTCATGATATTTTATATCATGCTATATCATACCACACTGTATCACATCGTGTTCTATCGTCCAATATCATGTGCTACCAATGGGGATCATCAGTTTGCCGTATCATAGCAAGTCATGCTGTATCGTATCATGGTCTAAAATATGTTATGTCACCCCCTGAATACCTTGCACCAAAGAATGGTGTAACATGAGATAATACAACAAAAGACAAGGTAAGACACGACAAGGCAAGGTAAGATAATGTAGTATCATATAGAAATTGCAGCGAACTGTTATGTGTTCTACATGTCTTGTAGCATCGTATTCTTGATCTGTACTCGGGGCATTGCTACTATTAACATTATCACCTTTAAAACTTATTAGGTACTACTCTTAGTAGTAGTAGTAGTAGTAGTAGCAGTAGCAGTAGCAGTAGTAGTAGTAGCAGTAGAAGTAGTAGTAGCAGTAGTAGTAGTAGTAGTAGTAGTAGTAGCAGTAGCAGTAGTAGTAGTAGTAGTAGTAGTAGTAGTAGTAAGTAGTAAGTAGTAAGTAGTAGTCGTAGTA